GCAGTGAAGGTTTAGCAGGCGGATTTCGGGGATGGCGGGACTGACACAGGAGGAGAGATTGACAAGATTAAGAATATTTTCCGCAGGAGTTCATACAAATGTGTGGGGGGCAGGGGGTGGGGTGGTGGTTAGTCTCAGTTGTAAAATTCTAACAGGACTACACAGGATAGATGCAGGGAGGATGTTTCCGATGGTGGGCGTCTCCAGAACCAGGGGTCACAGCCTGAGGATTCGGGGTAGACCTTTTAGGATGGAAATGAGGAGACATTTTTTCACCCAAAAAAAGCGTGGTGAGCCTGTGGGATTCATTACCTCAGGAAGTAGTTGATGCCAAAACATTGAATGTATTCAAGAGGTGGCTAGATATAGCCCTACAGGCGAACTGGATCAAGGGTTATGGGGAGAAAGCAGGATTAGGCTATTGAGTTGGATGATCAGCCATGATCATGCTGAATGGCGGTGTTAGCTCAAAAGGGTCGAATAGCCTCCTCCTGCTCTTATCTTTTGTAGCAGATGAAGTTCAATCTGGATAAATGCAAGGTATTGCATTTCAGTACAACAAAGAAGGGTAGGGTCTATACAATTAATGGTAGTGCCCTGGGCAGAATTGTAGAGCAGAGGGACCCAAGGGTACAGGTACATAATTCTTTCAAGTTTGCATCAGTTATAGACAGGATGGTTAAGGCGGCATCTGGCATGCTTGCCTTTATTGCTCAGTCCTTTGAGTATAGGAGTTGGGGCATTATGTGGAGGTTGTACATGACATAGGTGAGGCCTCTTCTGGAATATTGTGTCCAGTTCTGGTCACCCAGTTATAGGAAGGATATTATCAAGCTGGAGAGGGTTCAGAAGAGATTTACCAGGATGCTGCCATGTATGGAAGGTTTGAGTTATAAGAAAAGGCTGGGACTTTTTCCACTGGAGCATAGGAGGTTGAGTGGTGACCTGATAGAAGTTTATAAAATAATGAAAAGGTATAGTTAGAGTTGATGGTAGTTGTCTTTTCCCTAGGATGAGGAATTTCAAGACTAGGGAGCACATTTTAAAGGTGAGAGGAGAGAGATTTAAAAAAGACACAAGATGAAATTTTTGAATGAACTTCCTGAAGAAGTAGTGGATGCAGATAAAATTACAACGTTTAAAAGACAATTGGATAGATATACAAATAGGAAAGGTTTGGAGGGATTTGGGCCAGGAGCAGGCAGTGGGACTAGTTTAGTTGCGATTATGTTCAGCATGAACTGGTTGGACCAAAGGGTTTGTTTCCATGATGTATGACTCTATGATTATCTCTATAAATATTCTGTGTTACTTTTCGCAAGTGATTATTTTCCAACAAGTTCAAGTTCAAATTTGTTGGCTTGAAGGTAGAAAATAAAAGGTGGTGATAGATGGTTGCTTTCTGGACTAGAGGCTTGTAACCAGCGATGTGCCACAAAGATTCATGCTGGGTCCATTGTTTTGCTTCATTTACATAAACCACTTGGATATGAATATAGGAGGCATTGTTAGTGAGCTTGCAGATGACAGCAAAATAGATGGTTTCATGGACAGTGAAGATGATTATCTCAGTGTACAATGGGACGTTGGTCAGATGGGCTAATGGACTGAGGAGTGGCAGATGAAGTTTAATTTAAGTAACTGAGGTGTTGCATTTTGCTAACGTAAACCAGAGGACTTTTACAGTTAATGGTAGGACCCTGGGGAGTGTTGCTGAACAAAGGGATCCAAGGGATAGCTCCTTGAAAGTGAAGTCATTGGTAGACAGGGTAAAGGTGGTGTTTGGCACACTTGCCTTCATTGGTCAGAATGTTGAGTATGAAGTTGGGATGTCATATTGCAGCTATATAGCTATATATCCTGTCAAGGAGATTGGTGAGGTCACTTTTATTACACCGCGTACATTTCTGGTCACCATTCTATAAGAAAGATGTTGTTTAACTTGAGAGGGTACAGAAAAGATTTACAAGGATGCTGCCTGGACTGGAGAATTTGAGTTATAGGGAGAGGCTGAATAGGCTGGGGATTTTTTCCCCCTGGAGCATTAGAGCCTGTTATAAAAACTGATAACAGGTTTTATCAGTTATAAAACCTGATAAGAGTTTTATAAAATCATGAGGTGCATGGATAGGATGAATAGCCAAGGTATTTTCCCCAGGGTAGGGGAGTCCAAAACTAGAAGGTTTAAGATGAGAGGGGAAGGATTTAAAAAGGACTTGAGGGTAACTTTTTCATGCAGAGGGTGGTGCATGTATGGAATGAGCTGCCAGAGAAAGTGGTGGAGGTGGGTACAATTACAACATTAAAAAGGGACCATGATGGGTATATGACTAAGAGGCGTTTAGAGGGAGATAGGCCAAAAACTGGCAAATGGGACTGGATCAGATTGGAATGTGGATGAGTTGGACCAAAGGATCTGTTTCCGTGCTCCTTGACTCTATGGATCTAAGTCATCAATTTGTTTTTCTTTAAAACTTCTCCATTCAATATCCTAACATCGCAGAATGCATCCAAACCAAGTTTGGACGAGAAGAGAATGGAATTAAGATAATGAGGGATAATTTTATTTTATTCAAATTCTGTGCCCCATTCATGTCATACATTTTGGCCTCATCTTTTATCCTTGAAATGGCAAAACTTGGGAAATGGCAATCTAGGAAACACAAAAGTAGAGCAGGTTAGAATGCTGGAATTCCTCTGTACTGTATAAGCTTTTGTAGATTATCTTCACTATATTAAAATAATCGACTAATAAGCAGACATTCCTCAATCAATTCCTGTAATCGTTTCAGTCCTTCAAAAATAAGGGTATTTACCAAAAAAAGGAAAGACAGGGAAGAAAACTAGACCCTGAAAAACACTCAAATCCAAATAATGACATTTTTGTTAACAAGCCAGAGCCTGCAGGTAAAGGTAAACTCCAGGATAATCTACAATGACAGTGCAGGCATCAGCTTTGTGCCTGTAATGGACACTTAAAATGGAGAGTGTTCTAAGTTAGTTAACTTAAAAAAACTTGAACTTTTACAGCATAATCTGCTATTATCAGTGTGTTATTTGATTCTATTAGATATAATACATAACAAAACAATTGTAATTTTGCTTTCAATAAGCAATGTCTAGTGTGCAAAAGGTTGTTGGACCATTCAGACAATACTTGTGTCAAACCGCTGTTGGCCTTGTTCCATACCTAAGCATGCAAAGATTGTTTTTAATGCTTAAGAAAATATAATTGGTGGCACAGTGGTTAGTAGTGCTGCCTCAGTGCCAAGGACCCGGGTTCAGTTCCACTTCGGGCAACTGTGTGGAGTCAGCACATTCTCCCAGTGTCTGTGCAGGATTTCCCCATGGTGCTCCAGTTTCCTCCCACAGTCCAATGATGTGCAGGTTAGGTGGATTAGCCATGGGAAATGCAGGGTTACTGGTAGGAGGGTGGGTGTGGGTGGGATGCTCTGAGGGTCGGTGTGGAATTGTTGGGCTGAATGGTCTGTTTCCACACTGTAGGGATTCTATGATTCTATAATCATAACAATACTAAGAAACAGCCTAAGCCTTTTTAGGGCAAATCAAGATCTTTTTCTTTTAAAAAAAAAAGACGTGTTGAGAGATTTACACACATCATATCAGAGACTTCAGTGCAATACATTCAGCATATGTGAGAATCCTTACACTTGGATTGTTTATTTGGATTTTATTAAAGTGTTTGACAAAGTTCCACATGGTAGACTCATTAGTAAAGTTAGGTCACATGGGATTCAGGATGAGCTTCCCAATTGGACACATAATTGGCTTCACAGCAGGAGACAGAGTAATGGTAGAGGGTTGCTTTTTGTATTGGAGGCCTGTGACCAGTGGTGTTCCACAGGGATTGGTTCTGGGTCCTCTTGTTTGTCATTTATATAAATGATTTGGATGAGAATGTACAAGGCACAGTTAGGAAGTTTGCGGATGACACCAAAATAGTGAGTGAAGAAGATTTTCTAAGATTATAAAAGGGATCGTTATGAAATGAGTCAATGGCCTGAAAAATGGAAGATAGAGTCCAATCTGGATAAATGTGAGATATTGCATTTGGTACAACAAAGGAGGATAGCGCTTATGCAATTAATGGCTGAGCCTTGGGTAGTGTTGTAGAACAGAGGCACCTAAGAGTGCAGGTAAATAATTCTTTGAAGTTTGCGTCACATATAGACAGAGTGGTTAAAAAGGCAATTAGCACGCTTGCCTTCACTGCTCACTTCTGCGAGTACAGAAACTGGGAAGTCATGTTGAGGTTGTACAGGACACTGGTGAAGCCTCTTCTGAAATACTGTGTCCAATTCTGGTCGCCCATTTATAGGAAGGATATTATTAAACTGGAAGGGGTTCAGAAGAGATTTACCAGGATGTTGCCGGATATGGAAGTTGAGTTATAAAGAAAGGCTGCATTTTTCCACTAGAGTGTAGGAGATTGAGGGGCGACCTGATAGAAGTTTATAAAATAATGAGAGGTATAGATAGAGAATTAATGGTAGTTGTCTTTTTCCTAGGATGGGGGATTTCAAGACAAGGGGACACATTTTTAAAAGGTGAGAGGAGACAGATTTAAGAAAGACATGAGAAGCAAATTTTTTCCCACAGTGGGTGGTTGCATGTGGAATGAACTTCCTGGGGAAGTGGTG